CACATTTCAATAGCTTGCTCCCAGCTAGCAAGTGGTCCCAGACCCTTACCTATAATTACACCTGTAATTACCTGACTCCACCCTTGGGAATCCTTGACCAGAGTCCAGACTCTGAACTTCCTGTTTCCCAAAACTAACCAAGACAATCTAAATATGTCTCTTTGAGACCTTGATCCCTCTCTTGGAGCACTGATGTTGACTGAGGGCTCCTGGGAGACACTGCAGAAACATCTGGAACAGATACCACATTTTGTTTGCTTTCCATACTGACGGCCCCTCTTGTGTGGGCTCACATGGAGAAGGTGCTGGCCCCCAGATCCCTCATCCCCGAGACTCTGGTACATACCATCCGGGTTTCCCGCTCATACCAACAGGAAGCCACTGTGAGTGAGGACAACAGCACCCTAGAAGGAGTGAGAAGACAAGAAGGTGACCAGGCAAACATCGCGGTGAGCGTCATGACCACAAAGGGCGTGATGACGGATAACACAACTTCCTCCTCGCCTCAGGAAGGGAGATCCCGCCCCTGAGGTCAGGCCCTTGAGTCACCTGGGGGAGGGGGGGGGCTCAGCTTCTTCTGTTCTATCTCCCAGGGTAAACCCCCAAAATGTCCTACCCCCTCCCTCCAGAGGGTTATAGCCCGGGGCAGCCTGCAAAAGGAGTCAAATGCTGGCGCATGGCTGGCTGGCTTCCCAGAGAAGAGGGAGAAGTATCTTGGCATTTCTCCCACCGTCACTGCCCTACCCACTGCCCTACCTTCCTCTGGCAGACAGGCCAGCTCATGACCACGCCCCCTCCTCCACCCCCAACCACCTCTACTGTCTGGCCTGTGCCCTCTGGGAATTAGGTTCTCCAGATCTAAGTCCATCATTGTGACCTTTCATCAGCATGTCCCTGCAATGCCTGTGGTCACATGGGGTCTGTGCTTGAACTTGAACCTCTTCTTAAAATCCGAGACCTAGCTTCAACTCTGCTGCTCCATAGAAGCATGAACTTAGGCAAGTCCCTCTCCAGGCCTCAGTCTCATGATTCATAAATAAAGGTGTGTGGATTTTCCTGGTTCTTAACCAGGCCACCCCTTAGAATTACTTACAGAACCTGTAAGATCATATCTGCAGGCCAGGCCCCACCCAGGGATTGAATTGGCCTGCAGAGGGGCAGGACATTCAATGTTTGCCAAGCTGCCCTAAGGCCCCCTCCAGCTCTAGGATGCTGTTCTCAGGGACTAGGGGTTTAGGACAGCAGTTAAAAGCCTGGACTTTACCGTGAGAGAGGTGAAGCGTCAAGTCTGGTTTTGCACTCACCAGCTCTGACCGTCTGACCATGGAGGAGCAAAGCAAGTTGCCTCTACTGGGAACAGTTAACCATCGACCTCATGGGTCCTTGTAAAGATGAAAGGAAACAACGCGTGTAAACCTCTCAGCAAATGCCTGGCCAGGTGCTGCTCTATAATGGGCGCCTGTCCCCACGTGTGTGCCACACAAAGGTGTTTGGGGCCATGATTAGCAGCCTTTACAGTTGTTCTAACAAAAAGCAAGTATCACAGATGTTTCATAGCTCACTCACCGGGCAGTGAGTGGCTGGGCTGCTCCTCTCCAACTCCCCTCAGGGGGCCCCAGGTCCCAACCTGAGAATCTGTGCTTTCTGCATTCCCCTCTGTCCCATAAGGACTGCAGACTCCCAGGAGCCATGACCTGGACCAGAAGGAAAAACAGGGAACTCGAGGGGAAGACTGAGCTCCCAAAGAAAGGGAACAGGGAAGGACAGAAGGTGGGGGTAGAGGCTGTTTACAAACAGAGGACAGAGGAGCAAGCTGGCTTCAAGCATAAGAGGGACATAGTTGTGTGGACGAAAGGGGCCACATGCTGACCTGACAAGCTCAGGAGAGGCCTGCATGGCAGTTCTGCAGACTCGGAGACCTAAAGTAACCACAAAGGATGGTCTGAAATTAAACTTTAACTAAAAGCAGTTATGGTGGGCAGTTATGTCCTAGGCCAGTATCTTCACTGACAAGATCAACTTTGATCCTTACTGAGCCCATTTGCCTTTTTGCCTCTAAGATAACATACCCTTGAAATGTCTGGGTAACTTGTAACTTCCCTTTTTTCTGGAGCCCCTGGGGCACAACCAAATGTTCTGGGCAGATACTATAAATTCCTTCATTATCATGTTAATTGATCCTACTATCCTATCACAGAGGTTTCCCCCTGCTTCACTTAATCCCACCTCCTTAAATCTGTCACCAATGAATTTCATGTATAAATACGGATGTAACCCTGCCATTCTCCGGAGCACTATCTCAATTCGTTGAGGTTCTGCTTCCCGGCATATGTCGACAGTTTGGCTCAAATAAACTCACAAAAATTCTTTACAGGTTTCAATGGTTTTTTTTACGTTAACAGTTGTATGGCTTCGGGAGTCCACACCTGCTTAAGATAAGAGTCAAAGCTTGCCAAACCGGTTTGGCTCAGTGGATAGAGTGTGGGCCTTCAGACTCAAGGGTCCCAGGTTCGATTCTGGTCAAGGGCATGTACCTTGGTTGCAGGCACATCCCTACTGGGGGCTGTGCAGGAGGCAGCTGATCAATCTCTCTCATCGATGTTTCTAACTCTCTATCCCTCTCCCTTCTTCTCTGTAAAAATTCAATAAAATATATTTTTTAAAAAAAAGAGTCAAAGCTCTTCTTTGACTGCAGATTTGTTACTTAACTTGGGGCCGTTGTCCAGCAAATGTGAGGGCAACAGAGAGAAGGCGCTTTCTTTTCCTGGGGCCACGGTGAAGGGTTTAGTTTGCAAAACCTGAAACATCACAAGTTTGCCCTTCTGGAAAACTTTGGAAACAGAGACAATGAGATCTCTGCAAGTTGCACCCGGAGGAAAATATCTATGAGACATACATGCCACTCCAGTTTCTAAGGGAAAAACCACTGCAGGGTCAGGGCAAATCTTCAAGGAGACAATTCCAGTTTCGTGCAGGGGTGAGCAACCATTCTAGTTTGCCAGGACTCTCTCGTTTAAGCTCTGAAAGTTCCATGTCCCAGGACACCCTTCAGTCCCCAGACGAATGTTCGGTCACTTGGTTGATCACCGATACTTTTTTCTCCCAGACGAGTTTTAAAAGTGTCACCCCCAAACGGCTCAGCAAGCTCTGCGTGAAGATGCATAATGATCTGAGAAAGTGAAGCTGGCTCCGAGTCCAAGAAAAACCTGGGTGGAAACAGCACATGAGAATAGAACTCTCCCATAGGCAGGAACTCGGGAAGCTCCTGTATGAATGTTAGCCATCTTAGTAAAGCAGTCCTCTTTTTTATTATTATTAATATGTTGTTATTGATTTCAGAGAGGAAAGGAGAGAGAGATAGAAACATCAATGATTAGAGGGAATCATTGATCGGCTGCCTCCTGCACACCCCCTACTGGGGATTGAGCCGACAACCCTGGTATATGCCCTGGCTGGGAATCAAACCTTAACCTCCTAGTTCATAGGACTAAGCTCAACCACTGAGCCACACCAGCCGGGCTAAAGCAGTCCTTTTTGTGGACTTGAGGGAAGAAAATAGTAGCCAAAAGGACTTTTGTTCTGGAGACTTATTCCTGCTGCTGTGGACTGATGACAGGAGGCTTTTCCCAGCCAGAGCATACCACAGACCCATCCTGAGCTTACAGATGCATTAACACCTCTGTCTTTTCCGAGTCAAATACTGCTAAAACAGGTTGCCCCTTCTTAACTTGGAGCTATTCTTAAGGCGGACATGCACATGCACCCTTACACACAGGCACACATGTAGAAACACTCAAATCCCTTGCACTTTTACGTATGACGTATTGTCTTGTTAGCTTTGGCCTGCTGCTCCATTAGCTAAGTTGCATTCAAAATGCACTTTGCGCCCTAACCGGTTTGGCTCACTGGATAGAGCGTCGGCCTGCGGACTGAAAAGTCCCAGATTCGATTCTGGTCAAGGGCATGTACCTTGGTTGCGGGCACATCCCCAGTAGGGGGTGTGCAGGAGGCAGCTGATCGCTGTTTCTCTCTCATCAATGTTTCTAACTCTCTATCCCTCTCCCTTCCTCTCTGTAAAAAATCAATAAAATATATATTTTAAAAAAAGAATGCACTTTGACCTGTACACACGCCATTATCTCCAGATGATTAAAGTCCAGAGTCCACAGCCGGGCACCCATAATCCTGCTGAGGAAAGCTGTGTTTCTGGCCCTAACACACAGCCTCCTTCACTCAAGTGCTCTGATCCAGCTATGCCGTCCCCTTGACCACACTTGGGCTTGAGTCATCTGGCTCTGTCTGCGCTGCCCTCTCCACCTCGGTGTCCTTGGCTAAGTCCTAAATCCAAGACTTGCTTCAGGTTCCTGGGCCAGTGCTGCTACTCTGCTGTTCTCTGTCAATTCTTCCCAAACACCAGCAGCAGAACTTACCTATACCATTCAATTAGCAATCAGTTCAGTTTTGCTGTGTGAATCCCTTCTGTCTCAACTTGACAAAAAAGTTTTGCAACTTTTAGTTAATTTGTGATTTGTCCCCAAACCTGGATTGCAAACTCTTTGACAACTCTTGCTCACTCTTTTTATCCCCTAATGAAGTGCATAACCCAGTGTTTGCACGTAGTAAGTGCTCAATAAATAGATATTGATTTATTAGTATGGATCCTTGGGGCAAGGGAAAACTAACAGATCACACAAACACTGACTAAGTGGTGTGATCTGAGACACATTACTTAAGCTTTCCATTCCTCAGTTTTCCCATCTAAAAACCAAGAATAATAATTTACCCACTGGGTAGAGTTGTTCATAAGATTAAGAAATTAATACAAACATTAGAAAGCATTAGGGATGCAATGGCTTTAGCTTTGACCATTCTATGTGAGCAATGATGGCAGCTTGGCCCAGGTTGGATGCAGTGAAAATGGAGAGAAGTGGATAAAGTCAAATTATATATTTGGAAGTAGAACAAACAGGACTTTCTGAAAAATTGGCTGAGAAAGGTGAAGAAAAGAAGGGAATAAACCCGGCCGGAGTAGCTCAGTTGGTTGAGCATTGTCCTGGCACCACAAGGTTGCTGGTTAGATTCCCAATCAGGGCAAATACCAGTTGGGGAATGTATAGAAAGCAACCGATCAATGTTTCTCTTTCTCTCCCTTCCTCTCTCTAAGCATGTCCTCGGGTGAGAATTATTTTTTAATGGAATAAAAGATGGTTTCCATGTTTGGGACTTTCGGAATTGGATGGGAAGTGATGCCATTTACCAAGAGGGATAAGACTAAGAAAGGAATAAGAATTTTTGTAAAGGAAAAAAATTAAAGAATTTTTTTGTATGTATTAAGTTAAAGACAGCCATTAGCTATCTAAGAAGAGCTACCTATTAGACAGCTTAATATGGAAGCCTGAAGCTCATGAGAAAGAAACAAACTTCAGAGTCATTATTGTATAGAGCTGTGCTGTCTAATACAGTAGCCACTAGCCACAATTATAGGGTGATTTAATTTAAATTTAGATTTATTAAAATTAATTAAATTATCAATTCAGTTTATCAGTCACGTAAGCTACATTTCAAATGTTCAATAGCCACAGGTAGCTAGTGGCTCCCATATTGGACAATGCAGATATATAATGTTTTCATCATTGCTGAGATTTCTTTTTTTTAAAATATATTTTATTGATTTCTTACAGAGAGGAAGGGAGAGAGATAGAGAGTTAGAAACATCGATGAGAGAGAAACATCGATCAACTGCCTCCTGCACATCTCCCACTGGGGATGTGTCCGCAACCCAGGTACATGCCCTTGACCGGAATCGAACCTGGGACCTTTCAGTCCACAGGCCGACGCTCTATCCACTGAGCCAAACTGGTTTCGGCATTGCTGAGATTTCTATAGGACAGCACTGGGCCTCACACCATGGGACTGCAGGAAATCATCTAGGAAGTGGTTCACCATTCTGGCTACACATTAGAATCACCCCAAGGATTCAGAGTCAGTTCATCTTGGGGAACTCCCAAGATGAATTTATAAAACAGTCTTTTATAAAAGCTCCCCGGATGACTGAAGTGGAGCAGGGCTGAGAACCACTGACCTAGGGAAATAATGTAGTCAGAGGGGAGGGATCATGGTAGACCCAGGGTGCCCCAACATTAAGAGCAGTGATTCTCAAACTTGGCTACACATTGGAATCACCTTTAGACTTTTAAATATTGCCCTAGCCAATTTGGCTCCGTGTATAGAGCGTCAGCCTGCAGATCGAAGGGTTCCACGTTTGATTCTGGTCAAGGGCACATGCCTCAGTTGCAGGTCCCTCCCCGGCCCTGACCCTGGTCAGGGTTCATGCAGGAGGCAATCAATCGATGTGTTTCTCTCACATTGTTATTTCTCTCTGTCTTTCCCTCTCTCTGCTACTCTCTCTAAAAATCAATGGAAACATTATTTTAAAAAATAATAATAAAAATAAAATAAATATTATTGATGTCTGCATCTTGCTTAGAGGGATTTCTGATTTCACTGCTCTTAGTATTACCTGGTTTTCAGAAATTTAAAAAGCTCCCCAATGATTCTAATGTGCATTCAAGGCTGAGAACCACTGACTGAAAGAGGGTGAGATGTAACAAAGGAGACCTAGAGAGAAGAAACTAATATAGTAGGATGAAAAATAGTAGAGTGCAGTTCCCTAAAGCAATAAGCAAAAATAAAAAGGAAGAAATGGTTATAACTGTTGGATGCGAAAAATCACTTCAATCAATAAACAGCCTGCAGCCTATTAGATTTTGGTGGGGTGGTGGGAATGGAAACCATATGGCAATGGGTAAAAGAGTGAATGGTTGATGAAGAAACTGTTACAGTGATTGTAGACAACTGATAATAAATAGTTTTAGTTATGAAGAGGAGCAAAAAACCATGCAACAGCTGGACAGTGATTTGGGGTCGTGGACTAGACTTTTTTTTTTTCTTCGTGGCCTAGACTTTTTAAGATATTAGAGTATACCCTCCCTGTTTTGGCTCAGTGGATAGAGTGTCAGCCTGCGGACTGAAGGGTCCTGGATTCAATTCCGGTCAAGGACACATGCCCAAGTTGCAGGCTCAATCCCCAGTAGGGGGTGTGCAGGAGTCAGCCGATCAATGATTCTCTCTCATCATTGATGTTTCTCTCTCTCTCTCCCTCTCCCCTTTCTGAAATCAGTAAAAAAATATTTTTAAAAAATATATATTAGGGTATGTTTGTATGCTAACAGAATACTATAGTGAAAGGAGAAAATAATTATTTAGGAAAAGGGAGAGATATGGCAGGACGTTCACTCCCTACCCAAAATCCATACCCAAAATCTGCATTTCTCCCAAGTTCTCAGATGATGTTGCTGCCTCTGTTCCCAAGGACAATCTTTGAGACTACTGGTCTAAGCTCAAGATGGTAATCCTTTCCTTCAAGTAGTCTTAGGGATGGGCATTCATCCCAGTTCTGGCCATGAAAGGAAGTCTCTGGAAGGATTCTAGGCAAGCTTTCTTTGGCAATAAAAGAGAAAGAACATCCTCCCTCCTTTCACTGGATGTTGTCATATTGAATGAAATGCCTGGCACTGTGGCAACTATCTTGGAATCAGAATGTGAAGACTATAATAAGTCTCCATGCTGGAGATATAAGATTACAAAGATGGAAAGAACCCGGGTTCTTGATAAAGTTACACTACTGAATTAATTGATCCTGAAATCCCTGCTTAAGTGAAATCATATATTTTTCTTATTATTTAATCATTTTGAATTAGATTTTCTTACTTGTAGCCTAAAGCAACCTGAGTTATTCATGGACTCCCAAAACCTTAATTAGATGAGCCTGGATTAGATGGAGGGGCAGTTCTTTATAGAAATAATCAGGAATGCTTCCTCCCTGGTAATGTGACAGAAAGGAGAGCAGATAGATTTGGTGGTTGGAAAATTAAGTAGCTCCTGTCTGATTCTTTCTATTTCACCAGGTCATGAGCTGTCTTTTCAGAGAGGAATAAAGATAAGTGACTTGGGTAACATAATAAATTATAGCAGATTGCCCATTTGAGATTTGTGGTCTTAAATTCACAGAAAATACAGTCAGCCTGAATGGGTAATTTACTCCAGCAATAATAAACTACTTGGGTATACATTGATATAGAACAGATAGCTGACTAACTCCAACCATGGTTAAGTCTTTCTGGGTAAAAACAAAAGAAACAGAGAAAGTCAAGAGAGTTCAAGGTGACGATGGACCACAGAATCTAAGCCAGGTTCTTCCTATCCTGGTTAGTCTTCCTAGTCTTTGTCAAGTTTTTGTTGTTGTTGTTGTTGTTGTTTTGTTAATCCTCATCCAAGGATATTTTCCCATTGATTTGTAGCGAGAGTGGAAGAGAGAGGGAAAGTCAGAGAGAAACGTCGATGTGAGAGAAATATACTGATTGATTGCCTCCTGCACAAGCCCTAACCAGGGCCTGGGCCAGGAAGGAGCCTGCAACCAAGGTACATGCCCTTGACTGGAATCGAACCCGGGACCCTTTGGTCCACAGGCTGACGCTCTATCTACTGAGCCAAACCGGCAAGGGCTTTGTCAAGTTCAAATGGGTTTTTTCCTGTCAACCCAGCAGGAGCTCCTAGCTTATATTAGTTCTCAATCACTACATAGCAAATTACTACAAACAATAGAACAAAATGCACTCATTAACTCACACTTCTGTAGTCAGACGTCTGGCACAGCGCCTCGGGGTCTCATGAAGCTAATAAATCAAGTTGTCCGGTGAGTTGCATCCTCATCTGGATCTTGGGGTCTTCCTTCAAGCTGATGTCGTTGCAGAATAATTCACTTCCTTACTGGCGTAGAAAGGAAATAAAATCGAGAGATACTTAAGAGGCAGAATGACAAGTCTTGGTGATTGTTTACGTGAGAGGTGACAGAGAGGGAGAAGAATAAAGGATGACTCCCAGGCTTAGGGCCTGAGCTACTAGCCAGACAATGAAGCCTAAAATAAAAAAGATGGCGGTGCACGTTTAAGGGGTAGAAATGTTGAATTTGGCTTTAGACAAGGTAAGCTTGATACCTGCAAGATATCCAAGTGGAGATGCAGCACAGACAGGGGACACAGGGCTAGAGCTCAGGTTTGTAGTATGTCATCTGCATTGAGGCAGTAATGGGAGCCTTGGAGAAAACTAAATCGCCTAAAGGAGCATGTAGAGTAAGAAAAGAGGCCCCAACACTGAGTCCTGAGAAATGCTGACATTTATAAGTTGTATAAAAAGCAAAAGTGAGAAAAAGAACTGAGTGTCCAGAATAGGGCAGGAGGGAAACTAGGAGACTATGATATCCTGGAAGCCAAGGAGAAGGTGTTCCTAGGCAAAGGGAGTGGTCAGCAGTTGCTAGGTATGGCATAGGCAGTTGATCATTCATGTAATTGTTCAATATTTGGCTCCTGCCTACCACTGCTTCATTTCCCCCATTTCTCGAAGCCCATCCTTTATGCTCTAACACCAATCTTGCCTCACTTCTCCTGGACCATGCAATGCTTTCTCATGCATCCTCCCATTTTCATATGCAGTCCTTTCTCATTCCAACCTCCCAACCCTGGCCCCCACTCTACCCTAGAGTTCCCTGGTGAACACTATCCATCCTTTAATACCTTAGCTGCTCAGTCATCATCCACTCTTGGGTCTTCTTTGATTACCTCCTTCCTGAATTGAATCAATGTATTTCTCACTCTATTCTTTGTGTACCTGGTATATATTTCCATTATTGTGCTTATCCTGATATAATGTAACAACTTATCTAATGTCTGTGTCCTCAACTGGAATATGAGCTACTTTGGGGCAAGGACAATTTTGTATTCTGCTTTTATAACTATACTTAACACAGTATTGAATACATAGCTAGCTTCAACAAAGGTTTCTGGACCTTAAAGGACCATGGGAACTGCTGACATGAAGCAGGAGGTAAAGACAACCAAATAATAAAAGAATAATAACTGAATCAATAACGTATTGATTGCTTCATTGGTGCCAGACCACTAAGCCCTTTACAGTGGTCTAGCTCACTCAAGCCTCACCACACCCCATCTTATAGGGGCTACCATCACTCTCACTTTACAGATAGGAAAATGGAGGCTAGAGAAGTGAAGTCACTTTTCCAAGGTCAGACCCTGGGAAGAGGAGCCAAGACTTAAACGAAACCAAGTCTGTTTGGCTCCAGATCCCTGTACTCTCAAGTCCAGCTAATATTGGAGCTTGGGGGAAGTCCCTTGTGCTGGTTGCAATCTGTAAAGTATAGCGCTGCAATTCAGATGTGGTATGTGGGCAGCAGGGTGCCCATGGCTACCCACGGCTCCCAGCACATCTGCATGCACTGGCAGCTGGTGGCTCTGCGTGACCAGAAGTCATGAGGGACAAAAGCAAAATGTCTATGAAGGGTCTGTTCCTCAGAGTTGATTTAACGAGGCCCTCGTGTCCTAGGAGCAGGTTGGAGGGGTGCCCAAGAGTGAGCCAATCGCTGCCACGTCAGACACTAAGCTGGGAGTGCAAGTGAAAGGTGAGGAACCCAGAGTGGAGGGAACTAAGCCAAGTTGCCAGGGCTTGGGTAATTATAACCCTAAGGACAAGCCAATGTGCCCAAAATAACTTCCCAAGAGAGTCTTCACTGATCATTTTGCAGTCTCTATCCCAGTACTGACTTCCAGGTCTGGGAAACTAGCATTGATTGGGCCTCTATTATATGTTAGCACCATGAAGGGTACAAAGACCTGTTCTTGCACAGATCCAGGGCAAGCCCACAGAAAACAATGGAGAAGTGCATGGCACAGACCACAACGGAGTGCCAACCTGTGCAATACAAGACACAAAGGCAGCTGCAGTTCACAGAAAGGAGTGGTCAGGGTGTGCTGGCACAGGCGGTGGTGGCTTCTTGGAGCACATGAATTGAAGGAAGGAAGACAGAATAGAAAGGGAACAGCATTCCAGGGAGGAAGAAGAGTATAAGCCAAGGTGAGGCAGCAACAATGCAAACGAGTTACTTCTTTGGCTGTGACAAACCCACCTGTGGAGCTAAGGGTTCTTGTTGGAGATGAGCAGGGGAGAAAGTTAGATGAGTAGAGAAGATCAGATCATAGAAGTCCTGGATTCCAAGAAATTCAACATGCAGAATCCAGAAATTCATCATGTGGGTGAGAAATCACCCCAGGCTTTACACAGGCAATGAAGAATAAAATGTAATTTAGGAAGATTTATTCAGTGGTCGTATTTGAGATGGATTTGAGAGAAGAGGACTAACAGCAAACCCCCCCCCCCAAAAAAAAGGCTGAATGCTTCTTTGAACGTCCGCTAAAAACCTTACTGCATGCAAACTTAGAAAACATGGTTCCCCACACACCAGGCTTCACAGTCCAGTGGGAATGACATTCATTAATCCCATAGTTACCTATTAAGCATCTACTTTGTACCAAGAAATATACTGGGCCCTGGAGACCCAGGGAAGAAATAAATAAAGTCCTGGTCCTTATGAAGCTCATTTTCCAAAGGATATGGAAGACAATACAAAAAGCAAATCAATAATCATATCTATATAAAGTCAGTACTAAGGGCTACTGAGAAGAATAAAGCAGGGCATTGGGTGATGGGATGATGGGATAACAAAATAATGCTACTAATGATTGAGGTCCATACGTAACCAACCACCCAAAAGACCTCTGTCCCCTGCTCCTTCAGTCTCCAAGGCACAGTTGTAGGGACAGCTCTCTCTTCCCTACTTCCCCCTTGGACTACACGTCACCCCTTTTTATTGATTTCTCTGCAGGTGGCTCTGGGTACCTTAATGTTTGGAAGAAAGGGATTTGGAAAGCAAAATAAAGTTTAAACTAGCCTTCTTTGTCTTCCTAGAAATGTCAAGAATTAAATATTGGGGTAGACTCAAGGGTAGGGTGACCAGCTGTTCCTGACAGCCCGGAACAGCCCCAGTTTCAGCACTGTACGTCATGCATCTTGGGGAAACCCCTCAGTCCTGAGCAGAGAGGGACAGTTGGTCACCAAGGCTGCTCAGACCTTCACAGCAATAACCTGTGACTGACCTGCGTGTTGCAACACAAGACTTTCCACCTCTAAAGTGACATCAGTGCTTTAACGCATGGGTTTAGTTTCCTAAGCCCTATCTAATCCCCCACCCTAGAAGCTGGGTTCTCTTTCCCCACCCAGACAGAGGAGCTGTGTCAGCAATTCCTAGCTAGGGGGTGATCGTGGATTCCTCGGCCTTCTATTCCCTTCATCTCTCTCTCTCAGCCCCAGCTAACACCTAAACCAGAACACCAACTCCACAGGCAACCCCAAAGCATGCCTCTCTGCCCAGCCCTGGCCAGCAAGCTGGTGAGGTCTGGGGGTTGAAGTCAGATTATCAAAGAGGAAAAGAACTCATGTGAGGTGCCGATGTGCCTTGCCACCAGAAATCACAAGAAAGGGGAACCCCAGATAAATTACAGTCTGCTGACCTTGAAGGACATGTGGTTTGCGTCCTTCGAGTTACAGAAACACCGGAAATACTGACACGTTAATTTCGGAGTTTTGGGTTCATCGCTGGGCTGACTCACCTTCAGAGCAGAAACCAGGTAAAGGCCCTGATATTAAGATGCACGTAACATGTTCTCCCAAAAGCCACCATGTTTGTGACACTCACAGATCTTGGGAAAGCCTACAGATCATTTCTGCCAGTTATTAGAGATTCAAAGAAAATGCCAAGAATGATATCAATCTCTCCTTGTTCTAGAATTTTCCTGCCTGACAAGGTTAAAAGGATAATAAGCAGGGGATACAATCTTCCCAGAAATAATCCCAATTAGGACCATTGTCATCTTGACCACTGTGTACAGACAAAAAGGTATAATGTTAAATTAGCTATTTAGGTAACCTTGACCAATCTGCACAAACCAATATATCTCCTGAACTATGAATAGCCCAGGCAAAAAGTAGTTATTTTTAACTAAATTGTCTGGGGAAACTGCCTTATCCCCTCCCCCAAGAAAGATTACTGTTAAATTTTTCAGAGACTCAAATTTTTGATCCCAGAAACAGCTCTTCCTCCTATCCCTCCCTGTGGGGCTTAGCTTGAATGATTGTGACAGGCTGTTGCAAGATTGCATCACTGACCTTTGCAATTTTCTGGCCACTCCAATTTCCCCCTTCCTCCCCCTGCCCTCTCCCTTTCCTAGTTTAAAGCCCTTTGGCCTACCAGTTTCTCCTTTTCCTCACTTGCTGACTCTGGCATATGGAGAACAAAGCTAAATCAGAACCCCCCTACGTACCCCTACTCCCTCACCCCTCCATCCCCCCCACACACACACACACATACACACAGGATGATGTTTAATCCTAGTCACAATCAGTCCAACCATCCTCACACTTCCAAGAGTACTCTCCATTCTTGACCTTCTTACCAAACTCTACTCTCACTCTTCTCCCCTAAACTATGGTGAGCTGAGCTGGCACGGTAGTTGCGCCCCCAGATCCAGGGAAGTGGCAAATAACTTTGAGGACAGCACGAAATGCTAACATTCCAGACCTGCAGGCTAACTTTTACACACAACCCCTCTTCCATCTTTGTCTCCCCCCAGCCCCCAACTTCGCTTCTCACTGGGGAAGGGGGACGATTTAGATTTAATGGCAGTTCCCTGATACACAGAAATACATACACAAACACCTGCAGGCACAGAGACTCACACACACACACACACACACACACACACACACACACACCACCTGTGCTAACAGGGCACCCTCAATGAGTAAGTTACCTCTCAGGTGACCCTCACAATGCAAGCACCTGTGAATAAAACCAGTCAGGCCAGACAGAAACGGTGGTATCCGCGCACAAGGCCTCAGGCAGAGCCTGGACACCTGCTCTGTTCTGTACCCCATCCCTCCCCCTTGCCTTCTCCTCTACGATCCCCCCCAACTGTGGGAAGATGACACCTTTCTGGATAAAAAACGAGTGCTTTTTCCTCTCAGGTAGAACCCCAGATGTCCTCCTTAGGGGTCCTTCTCAAGCTGCCCCGGACCAGGGACGCTGTGCACCCACCCACACCGCCCAGAGAGAGTCGGGTGGCAAGTGCACGCAGTTACCTCGGGGCTCGGGTTCTCACCCTTGCACGCACCTGGAGCAGGACCTCCCACGTGCAGGCTGCCCTCCCCTGCACCCTGGCGCCGTCTCCCCCTCCCAGGCCCCAGTTCACACAGGCCCGGCGTGCACAGCTCGTGGCCGCCCCACCCCCTCCCTGCCCCGCTCCTCCCCCCGGCCCCCCTTCCGGCTCTCCCCGCCCCTCCTCCGCCTCTCTGGCAAGCGCGCGCCCGGCGCTGGCCCCAACCCAGGGAGCCCTGGAGGCGGGTCCAGGAGGAAGATTTAAGCGACCGCGGGACGCCGACGGGGTGTCAGCTGTGGAGTCTCCAGCTGGACTAGCCCCAGCGGCCACAGAGGAGGAGAACGCGGAGCCGGACGGACGGACGGACGCGCTCACTGCCCAGCTCGCGCTGCCTCCCTAGGAGCTCGCTGTGCGGATCAGGTGAGCCGGCTGGGCTGGGCGCGGCGGGGCTGGGGGTCCTTTCTGCGGGGCTTGGGGAGGATGCTGCGGCCACCGGAGCGAGCCATCCCTCGGGGACTAACGGCCCCCCTTCTGCTCCGCTCCTCCCCAGGTCCCTTCTGTCCCCGAGAGCCAGAGCCGGCATGGAGACGGTGCAGGAGCTGATTCCCCTGGTCAAGGAGATGATCGCCCAGAAGCCCAGCCGGAGGCTGGTGAAGGTGTACGTGCTGGGCGGCGTGCTGGCCCTGTTCGGCGTGGTGCTGGTCCTGGTGGAGACTGTGTGCAGCCCCTTCACGGCCGCCAGCCGCCTGCGGGACGAGGAGGCCGCCGTGGCCGAGCTGCGGGCCGCCCGGGAGCGCCAGGCCCTGCAGACACAGGCCCTGCCGGAGAAAGGCAAGCAGCACGAAGACACCCTCTGCAGCCGGGCCCTCTCCAACCGGCAGCACGCCTCCTAGAAACTGTGGGAGCCCCGCAGAGGGTGGGCGAGAGGAGAAAGAAAGAGAGCGAGCGAGAAAGAGAGAGACGGAGACGGAGACCGACGCTGATTCCAGCAGGGGAGCGCAGGAGTCCTGAGCTGTGTGGACCTCGGAGAAGCCGCTGCCTGCTAGAACTGAAGGAGCTCACAGATTTCACCAAAAGGAGTTTGGGGTGGGTTTGCTGCCGTGCAGCACTGCGGAGGGATGGCATGTCCAAAGCCACGTGTCTTTGAGCTGAGTGCACCTGTCATTTTGCACTGGGGCCGAAGGAGGAGAGATGCTTTTTATATTATTATTGTTATTGTTATTATTTTTACAATGACCATTATTTTGCATTTTGAAAATGAAAACATTTTGTAATATATCTGTGTCTGATTCCTGGGGAGGGGGGGGCATGGTTCCCTGGGTGGGCGGGCAGCAGAGGGGGGTGGGCATGCAGGTGAGGGGTCTCCCTGAGTGAGCCCTGCAGAGCCCAGCGTCCTGCAGGTCAGGCTACCCTCCCTGCCCTGCTGGGAGCTCTGGTATTCATGTCCCATGCTTCTCAGTCGGTTGAGGATTTGGTTTTGTCTCACGTTGGCAGTGGGAAGCGAGAAACTTCCCTAAGTCCCACCAGACTTGGCATTTTAAGATCAGAAGATCAGCTTCTGAGCTAGGGGACATGAATGGGAGATACTGATCAGTTCTGGGACAGAAGGTGCATTTGTCATTTCTCACCTGTGCACCAAAGGCTCCTATGGCTGATACCTCTTTCTTCCTAACCATATGTTAGCAAGGGAAAGAGGGAGAGGAGGAAGGAGAGGGGGAGGGGGAGGAGGAAACCAGCCAGCTGGTAGGAAACCAGGAAAGGCAAGCTCCCAAGAACCCCTATTGGATGCCTAGTTCTACCCAGCCTTCCTCCCTAGAAACGCAAATTGCAGTAAGAGACCCTGCGGTTAGAAGGACAAAAGACGGGTTGTCACAGATCTGAGTCCTCTTCCTCCGGGACCAAGCTTGCTTGGCGGTAATAACTAATTCCGTGTGTCTGTCTATAGGGCTCAGCAAAGGAAATTTTGAACAATGACTCTTAAAGAGGTAACGCGGGACATGGGCTTGATGCCTCCCTCCTTGTGATTTTAATGTGTCTCCTGCCCTAGCCAGGTACAGACATGTCTCTCGCCATCAGTAGCGATGCGTTTTTGCCAAACATCCCAGTGGCTCCTGTCTTTGCCTCTGATCAGACCCTCTCCACCACCACCCCCTCCCACACACCCCTCCATTGTATTTCTGCCAGCTCAAATTCTACCCAGGGTTCTGGCCCTGATCAAATGTCATCTCTCCCTGAAATGTATCCTTATCGCGCCAAACAAAAGAACAACCAGAACTCAGTGAGAATAATGGAGGGGAAAGAGATATGTTTAAAGGAAGAAAAGAATATCAGTGGCACCCCTGTTCTCTCGGTTTCCAAATTGGGAACCTCATCCCTATATTAAGACATAGCCTCACCTTAAACGTCCAATCTTATTCTCCCAGTTGGTCTACCCAAGTGCCTCTCCTTTTATGTTAATATTCCTCCTCCCATTTAGCCACCACTGTGTCCAGCTCTCAGCAGCTGAAACCACCCCTTAGGACATTCCCCCCAAACTGATCCACTGCCAGACTGTTCTTCCTTCATGCAGTGACCCTCACTGATTGAAACTAAATAGGGAAGGAGATTCAGCGCAGAATTTCGGTCCAGAAAAACCAGTTGCATGTTCACGGAATTGTGAAGGCTTATTCTAGCAGCAGATCATGCGGAAAAAGACATAGGTATCTTCACCAATTACAAGTCCAGTATGAGCCAACAAGAGCTGGTGACAGGGCTGCCAAAACAAAGCAACACCTTATTGGTGAAAGCAGACTGTCCAGGAAGAGGGAAGAGAAGGTGGTTTTGTTTCACTTGGCAGTCCGCAGGTGGGAAACAAGAGAAGTTAAGTTCCACTGCCTGAGCGCTTGGATTTGCAATCAGACTCCCTACTTGTGAGCTCTAAGGCCTGGAACAAGTAAGTTACTTATAAACTGCCTACCTCAAGTTACGTAAACCATTTTCTCACCTATAAAATAGTTCCTTCCTCGTGGCATAATTTTGCGAATTAAATGAGTGAAGTGCTTAGAGAGTACCTGGCATATACAGCGAACCCTTGAACAATGTTAGAGGCACTGACTTCTGTTATAGTCAAAAATCCACGTGTAATTTTTGACTTCCCCAAAACTTAACTACTTTCATTATCCATGGGGGATTGGTTCCAGCTACCCTCCTCCCCTAGTGAATGCCAAAATCTGGGAATATTCAACCCCCCTATATAAAATAGCGTAGATCAATGCATACAGTAGGCCCTTCAAGTCTGTGGACTCCCAACCACGGATTGGAAAATGTATAAGTATTTATTGAAGAAGTTCTCGGCCCTGGACAGGTGGCTAAATTAGTTGGAGCATCATCCCGTACACCAAAAAAGGTTTCGGGTTCGATTCCCAGTCAGGGCACATACCTAGATTGCAGGTTCCAACCCTGGTTGGGGCACATATAGAAGACAACCGAACGATGTTTCTCTCACAATGATGTTTCTCTCTCTCTCTCACTAGATCCATGCAGTTCAAATCCATATTGTTCAAGGGTCAACTGTAGTAATCTTTCAGCCAATGACAGTTATTGTAATTGTGGTTGTTGCTATAATTTAAGACACAAATACTTTGATTAGAGTGACTTGGGCAGATAACAGTCCAGAACCCCTCTCACATACAGAAGAATCAAATCACTAGAGAAGAGAATATACAGTAGTGTCACTTAGCAATTGCCTTCAAATACTTAAAGGGCTGCTCTATTGGTCCAATGAAATACAATCAAGTAGACTTATTATATGTGGCTTGAACTACGACTAGCAAGGAAACAGATCTTAGGTCATTGAGAAATCAGAGCATTTCCAAACAACAGCTTGTCTTGTGATGTATAGTAAGAGCCTCATTACTAAAAGCACCCAAGCAGAAGTTAGACATCATCTGCCAGGGATGGTATAACGTGGAGAGGAAATTTCTGAACTTGGAGGGATGTTTGTCATATGGCCTCTGAGGTCCCATCCAATTATAAGATGCTAGGATTCTGTTTAGAACAACCACCAAATAAGGGTTGCTTCTCTAGAACCCACCATCCCTTCTTCTCTGTTTCCAATGCCTCTTTGCTC